GCAAGTGATAACCTCATAAAAGTAAATATTTTTTGAATCGCCACAGGCAGGGTGATTCCAGAGACAAATACTCCTCATTACACCTTTTGATGAGCATACTAGCTCTGCCTTCTTTTTTTGAGGAATCAAGAGGGAAGGATTAGGTAGAAGGAAAGAAGAACATATAGAGGAGGAAAAGGTAGTTTAGGAGCAAGCTGGCGATGCGGAAATGGGGAGGGAACAATGACACATGGTTGCGTGATACAAATCTGTCCCTGATTTCTTCCTTCCCAACCCTGACGGTTCTGGGGTCTTCTCCATTAGCCCTTCACCACAGCTACTAAGTGTCTGTCCTGGCTCTGCCTACTCTGTCCATCCTGAACCCTGTTGCCTAATGAATCTTCTGAAATCAACACTTCTCCCATTTTAGCGATTGACAGCTGTATTCAGAACCCATGATTACTTGGGCTCAGCAAGCTCTTCTCGCTTTTGCCCTCCTACCAGCCATTCATTTATTAAGCAAACATTTTGTGAAATGCACAACGTGAGCTTCCTGGTCTAAGTAGGCCACTCTGCTCTCCGTACGTTCTTAACTCTTCTCTTCAATATTCCTTTACCACTCTTTACCTCCATAGTCCCCTACCCAGTATCTTTTTCTAACCTATCATCCTCACACCCATAAGACTTCAGGGCATTTTATTCTTTTTTTAACGTTCTCCACATTTGCTAGAGTAGATCCTCACACCTAACAAACCCTCGAAAAGCGTGTGTTAATTAAATGGCTTGCTAATTAAAGAAATGAGCAATTATACAATAAACTGCTTGGTGAAATACAGGTTCTTGAAGCAGTAGGGAAGAAAACTAGTAAGCTTAACATTTTTTAAAAAGCCACCTCATTGCTCCTAATTACCCGTTGTTTGAAACACTCTTCTTTTTATCCAAAGTCTGTGTTGACTGTCTCCCTCTGGGTGGGGACCATCCCAGTCAAATGATGGATACATTCGTAGATTCTGTCTCTTTCTACTCTTTTCACACATTTTAGACAGTCAAAAATAAGATCAGATCCGTTTTAGGAAAGGACAGAAAAGTGTATTTATCAAAGGCAAAATTAGCCTTAGTCATTAAAATATGTTCATCTTCTATGATGATCATCTCTTTTAAGGAGCATCAGGTGTGGAACTTCTGCCATGAACTGGACTTTGGGCGAAGTGTTCTGGGATGTGAGTCCAGTCATCAAAGAGGAGGTTCAAGGGTAGAGGTGACCGAGACGCTCAGATGCAAGTTAAAAGAGGCAGCAAGTGATGCAGTAAAACCCTGGAGACTGGAAAAGTCAGGCAAGATGAATAGGAGGCTTGAGTTGGGCCAGAAAGGACCAGGAAGTTTTCTGCAGCATGCAAATGAGCAAAAGACAAGGCAAAGATGGAGGGAAGGGAGTCACGCCTCCCGGCTGCATTTAGAATTGCGCGATATGATTACCTCACAGTAGAGCAAGACGCTGAAGCAGCTGTGAAAAAGTGTGTGTTCTGTGCCTCTGGACTGGAGGACGCCGCAATGGCCCCTACGATCATTACCCCTTAAAATGATCATTGAACTAACCAAGGTGCCCTGTTCCTTAATCTTCCCAAGTACACAGGTATTTGCCATCATTACCTCGGGGCCCTGGGAAGGACAATCATAAAGCACTGCAATTGCTTTACAGGTGCCCTTAAATGAATTCACCCAAACTCTCAGCAAAGTAGGTGGCAAAGAGCCCACCTGCTGGATAGGACGCTGTCACCAACAAATGAAGCTATCTGTCTTAGAGACTGCTCTGGTCCCAGGAGATTGGTAGAACATTCCCTTAACGTGGTAGTTAACATTTCTTTCACTGCACCCAAATCCCTGGGTGCTGGCGATCCCCTCGAGGGCAATGTGTTAGTAAACTCTGAGTCCCCAATGCCTCGCCCCGGGGCGGGGGATTGGCAAACATGAGGCTCAATTAATGTTTGCAGAATTAACGAATTCCTTTGCTGGGAGGCTGCTTGTCCTTCTCTGTTCTTTGTTTTATCTTTCACTGTGCTGTTGAGCAAGTAATGTCTAAAAAAAATTTGCAAATTCAAGTAGTACAGAACCCTCTAAGACTTCTCCCTAGAAATGGAATTGGGCGTTTGGAGAGCGGAAGAAAATGAGTTCGCATCATTTTGGAGGTTCATCAAACTGGAATAAAGCTGGTAGACAATGACTGTTGGGTGTGTGGCCTACACGTAGCCATCATTTCAATACTGATCTTTGGAGATTTTTGTCTGAAGCAAATGAAAAAAGAGGAAAAAAAATAGAAATGAGAAAAAATGATTCCATTGATCAATTTTAGGTGTTTTTGCTTTATCTTCAACCCTGTTGGTTTATTTTTCCTATTTGTCTAACTTTCTATTTTGACTCCTTGGCAGAATTTAAACAAATAAACAAAACATACATGAGAATATATCTGACTAAAGCAATACCAAAATGTTATATGAGCCTCCGGAACCACGAGATGGGACAAGTTTGTACTTCATCAATATAAATGTCCCACCAGTACCTTTTTGTGTCTTGATGTCAGAGTTTTATTTACAAATTGATCTCTTATCTATTTGGCTGGTAGACCTTGCAGACATTTGGGACTTATTTTACTCGTGTACACATCATCCTATGATTTCACTAGTCATCGTTAAATGCAACGTTACGTTGTATGAAGTTAAATTTAAAACCAATACCATTTTAAGCCAAGTCAGTTTCAGTCAGCCTTGAGACCACGTAAATTTCCAATGGCAGGAAGACCTCAGGAAGTCTATGGCCAATTTTTCCAAGTGAGACAAAAGCCACTAAGATTCCACAAACAGGTTCCAGATAAACCTTTATGTCATAAACCACTGTAGTTCTTGCCTCTAAAATCCTCCAGCTCTTATGACTGTCTTAAAAATCTGGATCATTCCTAAATCTGAGACACACGAATGAGGTTGAAACTTATCCATTGACCATCATCATCTTTCTTCCTTAAATCCTTTTTTTTTGTATTATCTGTTTTGCCCAGTTATAGGAAGATTATAAATTTTCCATTTGCAACTCCATGCAAAGATATCTCTGATTTAAATTCTTCTGTCTTAATCTGTTTGGCATCCTTAACCCACCTGAGCTACCTCACTATGATCATTATTGCGTTTCTATATTTATTAGGCACTTGCTTTGTGTAATAAAAATCAGTCTCTGCTTGTAAAATTGAAACATGAACAAGTCCTGACGTAGGACCAAAGCAGGATTAATAATGATCTGTCATATAATATTCAACCACAGTAATAGCCACTCCAGACAAAACTTTCCCATCGACGTTTCCTCGTGGAGCCCAGAAGCCGTGTCAGTCCTTTTCTGCCTTCCCTAGTGACCTTTCGGGAAATTTCCTTCCACTGATGAAATTGTCATTCTGTCACCGCAGAAGACAACAGAGTAATGTAAAATGATGATTGGCAAAAGCAAGGGCTCAGGCTGGCCTGTCTGTGGCAGTTTCAGCACGTTCTTCTTTCTAATTAAAGGAGAAGCTGGCGTTTCTTAAGATACTGTAGTTCCCTTAGCACATTTCAAAACTGTCTGGCTAGGCATTCAAAAGAACTGAAAATAGTAAATTTAGAGTTTTAAAATATTATAGTTCATTGATTCCTTTTTTAAAAGCAGCATAAAAAAGCACTACACCCTTAAAGCCCTTATGTTTGTCATTGCTTTTAACTGGGTATTGATTTTTTTTTTCTTAAGCCAGTTTAGCATGGCCAAGGGAAGCCCGGTGTTCCTTTCAGAGTTCTTCAGGATCATCCGTCTGCTCAGGGGACCTCTGAGGGTCACCCCTGGTGCCAGTGGTGGGGGGGTGGGCACCCCATTCCATAGACAGGCTTTCAAATTATGAGAAGACTTTCCCTCATTTTAAATCAGTAGTTACTTTCCTCTAATGCTATGGGTTTGTCTTTACTTGTCAGCTTTTCCAATTCTCTTCTTGCCTCTTCACACTTTTCTTGCCCCTTGAAGCCAGAAACACCCTGATCTTTACTGGACATTCCTGAAGCTAACCATTTAAAAAAAATATATATTTCTTCTCAAGGTTCCATTTGATGCCATTAGAGAAGACCTACGATTATAATAACCACAGTACCTGACAATAGGCATTCAATACACATTAATTATATTTTTGTTTTTAAAATATCAATATGGTACACAGGAAAGCACAGAGGCAAATCAGTGGACCTAGACTCCATTGCAGTTCAAGTATTAATTTGTTCTTGAATCTTGGGCTATATTTTCACCTTTCTCAGCCTCAATGTTCTCAGCTATAAAAAAAAAAAAGAAGTAATGATAAAGCCCATCTTATGAAATTGTGCTGAGGATTATCTATGTTAGTATCACGAAGTATCTATCACAGTTCCCAGTACATAGTAGGTCCTCAATAAATATTGCTCTCCATACACAGAAAATCTTCCCCCAACCCTACCTATCTTATAATCCGGAATAGCAGTGTCAACAGAAAAGACTAAGGACCTTTGGCTTCCAGCTTTGCCTTGTTTAGGCCCACACCCTTGGGTAAACCACTCCATCTCCTTGCATATTTCCCTATCACATAGTCCCACATCCGCCACAAATAAAATATCGGTTGGGGAATAACTTTCAAAAACCTTGGTGTGTTTTCTTATTGTAAGGTATTATTTCCTGCAGCAATTTATCAGTGAATAAATGAATGTGCTGAAATGAATGAGTCACCTATTGCCCCCATCACGTCCCTCCCCACACCAGAGCAGGGAGGAGAAACTCAACAAACGGTGCTGAAAACCCAGTCCACTCATGTCTATGAAAATACGCACATATGGGAACATTAGTCTGATAGGTGCAAATGCAGGCAACCACTCTCACACGAACATCTGGCAGAAGAGCCCCTTGACTCAGTGCTGATACAAACACTATGGAGGTTCAGAATCCCAGAGCTGTCGTTGTCAAAGACTCACACTCTTCCTTCTCATTTCTTCCAGGAATTTCTATTACATCACCATGTTACGGGATCCAGTGTCACGCTACCTGAGCGAGTGGAAACACGTCCAGAGAGGGGCCACGTGGAAAACCTCCCTCCACGTGTGTGATGGGAGAAGCCCCACCCCCGACGAGCTGCCCACCTGCTACCCCGGGGACGACTGGTCTGGGGTCAGCTTGCGGGAGTTCATGGACTGCTCCTACAACCTGGCCAACAACCGCCAGGTGCGCATGCTGGCCGACCTCAGCCTGGTGGGCTGCTACAACTTGACTTTCATGAATGAGAGCGAGAGAAACACCATCCTGTTGCAGAGCGCAAAGAACAACCTGAAGAACATGGCCTTCTTTGGGCTCACGGAATTCCAGAGGAAGACACAGTTTCTCTTTGAGAGGACATTCAACCTCAAGTTTATCTCCCCCTTCACGCAGTTCAACATCACGCGGGCTTCCAATGTGGACATCAACGAGGGCGCCCGCCAGCGCATCGAGGAGCTCAACTTCCTGGACATGCAGCTTTACGAGTACGCGAAAGATCTCTTCCAGCAGCGTTACCATCACACCAAGCAGCTAGAGCACCAGAGGGACCGGCAGAGGAGGCGGGAGGAGCGCAGGCTGCAGCGGGAGCATAGGGGTCACCGGTGGCCCAAAGAGGACGGGAACACAGAGGGGGCGGTCACTGAGGACTACAACAGCCAGGTGGTGAGATGGTGACCCCCTGCCCTCTCCTTCCTCGGGAGGGGGAGGATGAGCAGGCACACTGAACTTCTGTGGCGTTGGTGACCTTGGAGGATGGTGGGTATGTGAGGACATCTGGCTATATGTGGCTTGATTTGGACACCTGCTTCCTCTTTGTCTTCATCCTTATCCAGCTGGAGATGATCTGTTGTCTTCTTTTTTTGCCCTCCTCCTGATATTTTTCAATCCGTGATATCAAGTAGGGCAGGAATGCATCCAATGGAGACGTCCTTAGGAGGTCAAGGAGAGAAGCACCAGAAAGGAAACAGTTCTCGAAGAGCTCCTTTGCAGCATCATGGGAACCCCACAGAGACACACATGAAAAGCCAAATTATAGGCTTGGATGTTCTGCTGAAACTGGTCTGTTTCACACTGTCTCTGTAATGGAAATATTGGCATGTCCAGAGAAAGGAAGAAAGAAAGAAGTCCCTTTCAGCCCTTAGATGAGGTTTTATGCCAACCCTCCCTTGGCTCTTGGCTCTCATCTTGAACCCTGTTTGAATGTGGCTTAATCATAAGTAGCAGTGTTTCGTGGTTGCGATTGTTTTTAAACAAGATTACCCTACTACTGATCATCACTAAAGACTCACACCCCACAAAGTCCTTGCATCTTAGCTGGGAGCCATGCTTCCTCCCCCACCTTTTAGGGGAAAGCTAGTGGAATCAGGACAGGTGTGCTTGGCCCCTGAGAAATGAACAGTGGTAGGGGTAGTTAGGAGAAAATGTGCTTATTAATTAAGACCTAAGGAGATCACACTATACTGATTTTCTTTTCATTCAAAAGAATTAACTAATAAATTAAGGGGGGAAGCCGGAGGATGACTGTATGATGTCTCACACTTCCATATGGGCTACAAAACTTTTAGGTTTTTTTCAGGGATATTTCTGTTTTACCTCTTCGGAGCAGTCATCCTCTTCAATATGGTACTGCCAAGTTTGATGTTCTGTTAAAAGAGTCTTGCCCGAAGATTAGGAGTTGAGCTGGCCCGTATGCAAACGGTATGCAAGTTCACTAAATACATGATAATTGATTCATGCCAGGAGATGCAGAACTCAATGGGCCGGTTGTCCCAGGAGCCTAGACAGACGTTACCTCCCAGGATCCTTCATATCTCCAGCCTGATCACTTTATTTTCCCCACGTGATCTTTGCCTGTGGTTCGGCTGTGGCTCTATTTGGCAGCTCGGACTGGAGTGGATAAAGCAGGACGGGAAATTGGGCCTCATTACCCACTACTTCTTCTTTTCCATTTTTCCCAGTCACCAGTACAAGAACACAAAGTCTGTCAAGTACTCAGGGGACAAGTATGGAAAAGGGAAAAGAAAGGCCTTGCCTGGCATTCCGTAGTAGGATCAGAGTGGGAAGAAAGTTTCATAGCATTGATCTGATCAGTCCTTTCAAGGAGCTGAAGGCAAAATGAGTGAAACCCCTAAATCAGATTGAAAAGCCTATTTCATTGATATCTAGCGTGTTTGATGTTTAAGCCAGCTTTGCATAAGTCACATCGCAGCCTCTGGAGTACTCTCACTGGGGTGGAGAGTCGATCAACCCACACGCATTCATGGGGGGCCTGCTTGCTGAGAGAGGAGCCCGGGGTCTCCATCAGAGAGAGATTTGGAGAAGTGGCTTTGATTCTTCTCTCATGACCCTTGGCTTCATCTGTCATGTGAGGGAAGGCATTATTGGGGACCTCCCTTGTGTCACTTACTGAGGGAGCCCTATTCATACCTTGAATCCGTTCACAACAAGATAGATATTATTAGGCCTAATTACGTAGATAAGAAAAGTAAACCCCACAGAGACCAGGCAGCTTCCTGGCGGATGGTAGGCTAAGTCTGGCCGACTGCAGAGCACAAGTTCTTTTGATTCCATCCTGTTTTCCATATGGGACAAAAGCTTCCTGCCAACAGTGCAAGAAGCCAGCCATTAGAGCCCAGAAGGATTTGTTGCTAACCCATGTGCAGAGCACAACTGTGACGGTCCCGCACTCACAGTGGGCCCAGAGCCATGCTGCCTTGGGTGCAGCCCCCTCCACCTCCCTGACCCACCAACAAGCTGAGAGATTGATGATTTTATAGGCACTTGTACTTTTTGACACCTCTATGTTAAAGGGACCGAGTCAATATTGCTTGTTAGTTGGTAGAAATTAGACTCACGGAAGATTCGCGTCTCCCTTACCGCCAATTTGTTCCTGAGGTTGAGAGGGAAGAGGTTTACAGCTACAATTAATGAGCAGCCCTCTCTCTCTCTTTGCATTCCGATGTTAAGATCTCGTGTTCTGCCTAGAATGGCAGAGCTGCAAATTATCCTTCAGCCTGCCGCTGTCTCACACACACACACACACACACACACACACACACACACACACGTGCATGCACACATAATAACAATCCAGTGTTTTGTCATGTGGAAAATCAAAACTAGTTAGAAAGCATGCGGATTGTTTCTTTTAAAGTCACTTTAAATTTTTTGGCAGGGAATTCATGCATCGCTGAGACTTGGAGGTGGCCTCTGCTAACTTCACACTGTTCCTCAGGCATGTCGGGATTTGTATCAAAAGGCTTTCCTCGGCCCGCACCGAAGGCACGATGTATGGTGCTGCACTTGAGACCAGATATCAGGATGTTCACAGGAGAAACCATCTCTTTGTGTTGGCGCAAGGCCAGTGCTGAGCAAATTAAAAAGACCGACAGGGGCTTCCTCCCTCATAACATTTCATTCTAAAGCAGTACGCTTGTCATATCCCTGGGGTCCTATGTTGATGGAAGTGAAGAGGTAAGGATACAGTTTGTTCTTCCAAAATAGACTGCACATCTACGTGCTGAGTGACACTCAGAGAAGGGTTGCCAAGAGAAGACATCTGGGCCTTGGGATCCACGGGGAGTCAGCAGCTTTGCGATCTAAAACCCAATCAATTCCAGATACATTGATATTAAGAGCCCGAGAGGAAGGGGAAAAATTTCCCCAGGGACTTCCATATCCTACTGACTCCTACAACTACCAGATAGACATTCCTTCCCTTGACAAGGGAAGCCCCAGATTGGGATGGGGTGACCTTGTGTACATGTTTGTGGTTGTGTTTAAGTTATCATCATGGACTGAGGTACATACTCTCTCTTCTGTCTCCTTCTAACTTTTTGGCAGCCTACTCTTGGAAATCAGAGAAAGCCTACCCTGAGAATTCTTTGGATACTCCTTCTAATAACTAATAACATTAGCAATCAGTATTGGGCAACAGCTATCGATATCATGTGTGCTATGCATTTCTTATCATCTCAAGGAGGGAACTGTTTCATAGTTTAATCAAGGGTTTGAAATATGAGGACTTGTTCAAAAGTCTGAGTAGAGATAGTATTTACATGGGGAAGAAATTCTACCAGAGGGAGACCTGGCAAGGAGGCAAGCCTAGATCATTTAAAAAAAAAAAAAAAATTAAATCCATAGGATAGGATTCCCATTTGGCTGCTTTAAGAGAGAAACTCAAAATAATAGTGATTTCAATGAGATCAAAGCTGTTGTCCTCTTATTTAAAAGGCAAACTGGTTAGATAGCTCTGGTGAGTGACATTAAAGAACCCCAGTGCCCCTCCTGTTGCTCATTCATACTAACATGTGCATGCCATCCTCATGGTCCAAAGTGACTGCTGAGGCTCCTGCCATCTCATTTGTATTTCAGACAGCAGAGTGGACATGGAACGAAGTTGCAGTTATCACTTCCACTCACATCTCATGGGCTAGAACCTAGTCATTAGCTACAAGTAAATGCAAAGGAGGCCAGGAAATGTTTTTATTATTGGTTGCCATGTGCCTTGATAAACAGGGAGGGAGGGTTCTATTATTAAAGAAACAATGTGAAAATTAATACTGGTAAAACTATCAACCTCTGACACAAAGGGAATTGAAAACTATGTCAAGTGCTTTTCACATTTACCTATTTCATCATACATTTTGCAAAGATTAAAATTCATAACTTTGTATAGTACTTAATGCTTTCAAAACATTTGTACATTTAGTATCCTATTGGATCTTCAACACTCTCTCATATGGTAGATATGTAGGGCCTCTATTCATGATCCCATCTGGTAGTTTCCAGTGGAGATTCAGGGATGTTAAAAGATTTCTCAATTCGAGTTTATCAATAAGACAGTTGCTCAGAGCCCCAGTCTTGACTTTATAGCCTTCCCAATGACTTTATGCTGCTCAGCATCCATATCAGGACTGGGAATTGCAAGAATATGAAATCTCGGCCTTTATTGACTTATGTTTTTCCTTACCTTCTTGTAGAACTGCAGTGACTTAGAAGATGCCAAGGAGATTGGTAGAGTTGGCTCACTGCCTCCAGGGAGGGATCATCTCATTAGGAGTGAAATGTCCAAGAGACGGGCAGTGTTTCAGGGGAGACCGAGAAGCACAGACATTCAAACAATTCACGCTGGCTGTTCACCCCAGCCAATCCCAAAACCGATTCAAGATGAAGGCTGAGGAAATGTGCTCGCAGCTCCTTAGGGAAGCTCAGTGTCAGAAATATCTCGAATCAGTAAAACAGCCTGAATAGTGAGAGGTAAGGCGTGATCAGTAGAAACCCTGCTCAAAAAAAAAAAACAAAACACCTCCTTTCCTCCCTACTTCTTCCCCAGGTCTCTGGAATTTTATCAGCAACTTACTGCTTTGGTTCTTAAAGGTTTTATTTGGTGTTAAATGAATCCCTTTGCAGCCTGCCCTGTTGCTGGAGAGAGGAAATGCAGCCGTTGCTGTCATAGGCTACCATCTTCACACAGAGTTTATCGGATTCCTCTCCCACCATGGCCTCTAGCTGAGAAGAAAGTCCTGTATAATGGGATCACGCAGGGGTGGGAGTTAGGGAGAGTAGGGGTAATTAGAGAGGAAAGCAAGGCTCTTAAAAGGGAAGCAGATCTTTCAAAGGTGGAAAGATGAAGAATTTAACATGTGCCAGGAAATCTTGAAAAATAGAGAAACAACATATGGTTTCTGTCCTCAAGTACAAGGGCAGGCTGGAGACACATGGACCGTCATTCTTCGGCCATTTCAAAGAGCTGCTAAGAGCATGAGGCTCAGGAAACAGAACCAGAGCGTTGGCAGCGTTTTCGGGACTGAAGTAAAGGCTGAATGAGCTGGCGGGGTCGGATCCGAGGGAAAGCTGGCGTGGACTGGGGCAAAGGATACCCTCGTCTGATCACAGCTCTGTCTCCAAGGCTTTCCTTTCGCATAATTGGTGTGCCTCCACTGGTCATCAGAACCGCAGCTGAACGTCTCCCGGCTGGGTCCCAGGGCTGGCTGAGTCCAAGGGCACCCGCCAGCCGCCGCACCTCTGGGGAGCTCCCCGAGTTTCCTTCTCCAAGTCACCTCCCTCAGCCCCCTCCTCCATTCTCGATGGGACATTATCCTGCTATGCTCTCACC